ACTGCATTCGCTAAACGTCAGTTCATTAACTAATCTATATATCTGTATAATTTTGTCAACAAAAGCCATATTACCATACAAAAAGTAATATTTACTGTAGAAATGCCAAGGACTGCAAGATTTTGATTATAAATTGGCTAAAGACCCTGTCTTACGAAGACAGAAAAACTTATGTTTCGACACATAGGGTGAGAAAAAAATCACACAAACACACAAACATACACACACACGCACACATACACACACACACACACACACACACACATTTATTTTTGAATATTATTGTATAATTGAAAAAGATTTTTTTTGTATAATATGTATGTGTATGCACAGGCTTCCGCTTATTTCTGAGAGGGTTTTAGGGTAAGGAAATAGACACCGCGCTGCCCCAATATGCTTGTTGGCGAACTTCACATGTCTTTCGAAATATATTTTTTCATATTGCTCAGACATGCAGGTTCCTCACGATCTTTTCCTTCACCGCTGAGCACGTCAATCAGCACTTAAAATTGCAATTAACAACTTCATTGGTGCCGGCGGGGATCGATCCCGGTTTGCTTGCCGCACTGTGAAATTTACAGCGAGCGCTAACCATCTGAGCTACCACGGCTTTTTATTCTTAGTTAATAAAGTGATGATATGAAGATTTTATTCTTAGTGAAAATTGATAATTATATGATAAAAATGAGCGGTAGGAGATTTACTGTTTGGACTTATTATAGAGAAACTGACGACCAAAGTAAAGAAAGTAGAAATAAATCCATAGTGCCTCAAAAATATAAATGTATAGATTTATGCATTTGAGGCACTCTTGAGTAAGTAGATTTAACCCATAAATAAAATATATTTTCAACAGTAAAAGACATCGCATTACTCAGTTCGTACATTTCAATACATTGGACATTATAAAAACGAATGTTCGGTGATTTAGCCGAATATTCGGCCGAACACGAATATTCGGTAAATCTGTCGAATATGCCAAATACCGAATATAAAACGAATATTCGGCCCATCTCTAATTTCTACCACTAAACCGCTCTACATCCACTATTTCTGTCTGACTTAAAGGGTAAAAATACCACAATAATAACAATGTTAATAAGATTTAAGCTATCTAATTTTTATCACCACAGCTTGACAACACATGCCTAAAATTGTTTTGAAGTCGTGATGTTCAAGTTGGTTGCATGTCTTCATGGGCTACACCAGCCACTTACCCTCAGGTGGACTGTGAACGTATGTGAAGTACTATAATCGTTTAAAACTCTATTACGATCTGATTCTTCAATTAAAATAAAATGCTTTGACGTATATAAATAAAGGTTCGGTTGCAAAGCTGGTGACATAGTTTTGTAAGCAAACAGGTACACAGGTACTTAGTTAGTTAGTTTAGTTAGTTAGTTTAGTTAGTTAGTTAGTTACATACGTTATGATTATTTTTATTCTAAACTTGCTGTTTTTATTATGATTGGAGTTCATGGGTTTTAATTTTTTTTGGACGGAACCCTAATTCTTTTGCTAAAGTATTATAAACAGCCTAGGTTACTCCTTATAACATGAAATCAGCTATCTGCCAGTGAAAGTCCCGTCAAAATCGGTGCAGACGTTTCGGCGATCAGCTGGAACAAACAGACAGACAAATAAAAATATTAAAAAGTATTTTTTGTTATAAGTTCCGTATATATTTTCATATGCATTTAGTAAAAAGCTATTGTTTTGACATTAGAAACAGACACTTCAATTCAAATAATTTATTATATATAGGTGCAATATCTTTATTGAAGCACTAAAATTTATAGTTTATATTTTATCTTGGCCTAAATATCATATATATCATATATGGATGTATGGGATATCTTCATCATCATCCAGTCTATTACAAAACACTTGAGACTTGAGTCTGATCGATAATCCTGTAACGAGTGACGAGGACCAACATCAAGTTTTTGGACTTTATCCAAATCGAAGAGATGAAAGGAATATTTCAATGAAAGCCAATATATATATATATATATATATATATATATATATATATATATATATATATATATATATATATATATAAAATTTTGCTTGCAGTAGCTTCTAAAAATCGGAAATATCGAAAAACATTAATTTCCCTGAAAATCTAAACGTTTAGATACAGGTGTGTGTAAGCCCTTATATACTCGTACATCGTCCCACTGCCCTGAGACTTACCATGTGCCGAGTTTCATTTCCCATTCCATCGTTGGGTGATCGAACAACAATCGGCGAATAATAAACATCGTTTCACTTTTCTATTTTCGTACGGATTACATACTTGGCTTGCGGTGTCCGAGTTGTAAGAATAATCGCTGTCAGTCACGCTTTTCATTGAGTTTGTTTGTGTAATACAGTTTGTTTGGAAGAGTTCCGGATTTTTTCTACAATTTTTTAAATTTATACAATTTAGGGATAAATTTGCATAAAAAATTTGTATAGATAATTATTTTATACATTTTATTTGATTGGGATATTTACCGAAATATTTAAATAAGTAACATAAAACAAATTTTCAAGTATTTTCTTATTTATTATCAATGGTTGTTAACTGTTAACATCATTGTTTATATATGCATTGTATACATATTGGTATGTATAAATAAAAATGAAGTGTCTGTCTTTAACATCGAAATAACTACCTTCTATTGCACTCATTATTTCTATGCTATTAAGACAGATAACTATTTTGAAATTTTCGTCTGTCTGTCTGTGTGTGCGGGCCATTCTTCAGGATGGCTGTGGCTGTGGCAGTCAGTGGCAATGGCTGAAACTAATATTAAATATAATTGTGATGAAACTTCACAGATAGAGAGTAATGAATGTTTGGAATGATCTAAGCTGTGTTTTATTTGAAAACATGGAGGATTACATAACATAAACACGCACGCCTGTCAACCAGAAGGGTAGGTAGAGACTACAGACTTCCATTTGGCACGATCCTGACAGACCTCTCTCGCTTCCTCCACATCCATACACCTACGCATACATTCTCGTCGGTTAAGGGTACTACTAATTTGTCCCGTTTTCAATAAATCGCTAATTTGTTCGATAAATTTTCGCCTAGGACGTCCCTTTCCGACTCTGCCATTCACTTCTGCAACATAAATTTTCTTTGTCACTCTTTCTTCATTCATTCTTTCCACATGACCAAACCACCGAAGCATTCCTTTCTTAATCGTGGTCACAACATCCTCCATTTCTTCTATAGAAAAAATAGAAGAAATGGAGGATTATTTTTGTAAAAAAAATATACTTCTAAGTAGGTATGTATACTTATATGTAACTGGTTTCTCGGAACGGTTTTTACTACTAGCTAGTAAGAATGTGCCAAGAAAATAAAAATTTAAGCTAAAAGTTATATGTTTTTCGAAAAATTCAAATTGATAGAACTAGCCAGCAAAGATTAGTTTCAATTTTGTGACACTTACTGAATCATATTTTTATCTTGTATTGTGCCGGTAAACCAAAGAATTATGATATATTTACAGAGATTTTAGTTTAATATATTAGCTGTGCCATACCATAACTTGCTTGGTGGAAGTATTTATTTTGTAATTTTGCTAAGAAAACTAACTTTAGAATTAGAATATTATACGGAATATGTAAATACCATGCAAACAATATGTAGTTATAAACGCCTTGTTATTTTCTAGAAAACATCTTTTAAGTTACAATGCTATCATCCACAATCATCCTTGGTAGTAAGCTTCATAATTATATATATAATACAATAGGTCGTACCTCGAAAACTATCGATCGCTGCTCTAAATATAAACCGGGTTAGAAAGGAAACACTTATGTATTAAAGGGGGATATTAAAATGTTGAAGTAAAATAATTTACAACTTAAGTGCACTAGTACTTAGGTACTGCAGACTTGTGCACTTGAAAGGTTGATTTGATTCCTGCTCACGTTTTTAATTACCTTCGTAGTCATTTTACATTTTTAACCTTACTACATTGTTAAACATTTCTTTTTAATAGTATAGGGTGACAAACGAACACACATTCCACCTGATGGTAAGTGGTTGCTGTGGCCCATAGACATCTACATCTATCCTCGATTACGAATCAAAATGCAGATGCGTAAAAAGGGTCTCTATACTCTCCATACGAAACACAACAGCATTAAGCTACTATTTTACGCTGGTATTCTGTGAGAGTGTGGTCTTTCCCCGGTCGAGCCGACCCATTTGTGCTACAACTATACTACTAATCAGAGAAATCGTAATACGATTTCTGCGTTACTGATATAACTGCAGCGAAACTACCACGTATAAAATTTTAACATTTCGTTATCATAATAACATTACTGTAATTAAATTTTACTTAAAACTTTCGGCTTGAAGGACATGAAGGAGGGAGTGTATATACAGTGTAAATTAGAAGTAGTGTGCGAGATATCTTAGTGCTCAGGGGCGACAACGAGTCCTAAGTCTTTTTTTTTTTGTTTGAAGTCGCCGCTGTCTATAGTCTACAGTATGACTTACTAGCTTAAAAATATGTTTTTTTTTCACGTGGAAAAAATGTAGTCATTCTATTATAATATCACAGTAAATACTGCTTAATTTTTCTTCGTATAGCACATTGGAAACGTACGTACCATTGTTTTATCATAACTGTCTACGTAATTTCACATCGACTCCAACGAAATATTAATTAGGAGAAATTAACATTATATTTAGGAAGTAGCCACAGACGGAATATAAATCCATGTATTGGCCTTGATTCCTAAACGAACATCCCGATTTGGCGGCCGAGTGAGCTCACGCGCTTCGCTTCGCAGACGATAGACTGCTAGTGGCTCATTAGCAAGCTTCATTGTCGACGGCCAGTGTTTCCTTGCTCGCACGCGGATGCAGTAAGCGTTGCTAGTCCCGCACTAGTTTCCGAACGCACATCTGCAGCGCGCGCTGCGATCCGCCAAAATATAAAAAAAATAAGTACCCCACGCGCGCTTTTTGAAACTACACAAAAATGGGTGTTGTGAAAAATCACAAAAAGAATAAAACAAAAAACGATGCGAAGAAAATCGAAGTGGTGAATGGAAAACCTGCTAAAGACGAGAATAAAGTGAAAAAGAAAAAGAAAGTGTCGTGTTTACAGTGCATCAAGTCGCCCGATGATGGTACATAAAATATAGTTGCTTTTGCTGTTGACCAGTATTTATATTTTTTGTTCATGTTATGTAGCGGAAAAGTTATGTATGCCTGCGTGGTTGTCGTAATTTTCTTACAGCGTTGTAATTGTTTTCCTTGCCTGGTTTTCATTGCATACACCGTAATAAATTCCGGAGTTTATGTAAAAAATATTTTTATGTAACAAACATTTATATAAATTATATTAAAGTATTAAACATTTGTCACAATGCCAATTCAATTGACTTTTTATAGGATTTGTTGGAGTAGTGCCTGGTGGTTCTATAGTCCAGTCCAACTTTAAGTAAAATAAATATAAATAACAATTTACGTCATAAATACTATAAAAAAATAGTAATAACGCGGCATTAATTCTGTAAAGTTAAATAAAGTTACATCCTATGAGTGTAAACATTCCACAGGCCTCCTCATTTCTGAACAAGGTAGCATTACTTAATTTAGAATTAAAAACAAGTTTATGTCAAGTACGGTAGCTACAAACATTATGAAATACTCAAATTTACCTTTGAATGTTTCGCTGTAGCTTCAAAGTTATAATTTCATGATTTGCATGCTCGTAATTGTGTAATATAAGATGATAATTCGGCGAATCGTGTTTACCTAAATAGAATTCTCGATTATTTTATGATCCATGTAACGGGATGATCCGATCGCTCTCAGCAACTGCGGCCTATATTTTTATGTTTATATGTATCCCGAATAGCACCGAAGCAGGGTTTCGTAACGTCCAGTGCGTGTGTTCAACTCGATATCATTTTAAAACATTTTCCCGCGAATGACGAGTCAAGGTTGGCCGAGTGTTTTCGTTTACATCATCGTTACCACTATAAGACACAGATGCAGTGCCCATGGTCCTTTGAGTAGGCCGCTATTGAAAAACTTCGTGAATACATACATATATTATCAGCCATTTCAGGAATACTGCTGGACACATATTTATTAATTTTGGCCTCTCAGTGTATTTACGAAAATTTTATGTGTACTACACAAGAACAAAAAAGTTTATTGAAATAGTGATGTAAATTCTGTAAAGAAGAAAAACAAACACAAGATACTAATGACTTCATCAGGTAATATATAAGATTTCACAACAAAAGCCCAGAAAATATGCAGCACCTATTAAATTTTTTTATCAAAGTTATTTAATAAGGGTTATTCTTCTTTTATAAAAATAACTCGTAGGAATGAATGATAATACTACCATCCTGTTTCTAAATGTTTTCATACTTTATTTGGGCAACATAATATAAAAAAATAATGTTTAAAAATAGTCCCGCTTGGTGTCTTGCTGGTTCTTCCCAGAACAGAGATTTTTCCAAATCTGTGGTAAAAGCATAAATGATTCTCTAAATATTCTTGTAATCTATTTTGCACTTTATTTAAGCGTGTAGTGACTAAGGGAAAATAAAATAGGCGACGAGGAGCAGCATCTCTCTGATAACTCAAAAATAAACTGGAGTTGACCAGGAGAGAGAGTTGGAGAGACCAACCCGTATGCTAAGTGTGGCAACTATGGCTAAAACCCATCTATGAGGCAATCTATAGGAGGAGGCCTATATCAGGCTGTAGTTGGTGAAATAGTTATAAGAATACGCCATAAAAAATATATTTCTAGTATATACTCTGATTGAAATACAGAAAATACTAGATGGATTTGTATTAGTACAATGCTTTTATATTGTTTGTTATTTATTTCACAAGAAATAAAAATACAGAAAAATATTTTTTACGAAATAAAGGAACAATATTACGTTGTTGTTATATGATAAAAATTAAAAAAAAAATGGATTTTCGTTGGTCGCAACTTAGGATTTATTTGTACTAATAAAGTCTACGCTGTTAATATACTAACTATGCAAAACTTAAGTTAGAATTTTTTATTCATCTCTTACTCAAACAAAACCGTTAAAATGTTTTAAACGCCCTACGTAGTTTAAAGCAACGCGATTCATAATCGATTGTGAACTAGGGTCGTTTAGAGAACTTGTAGATCATTCTTTTGTAGTAGACATGCTCGTAATTGAAACGGTAAAGGTCCTGTCGGCATTAGAGAATTTAAAGCCAATTTGTATTTGCATTATGACGAGATGCGAACACACGTGTCAGTATAATGTGCCGTTGAAGTACTGAAACCCACCAAGTGAGCTCTGCAGCTGCAGTGAACGTGGTAACAGTGATGTGTTCTTATTGCAGTGACGTCTTTTCACTTGGACATAGCACAAATAAATTAATAACTCAATTTGATGTTTTGGACGTCCCACGCAAAACGGGATGAAATTTTGAGTTCGATGATAACATGACCTTAGACTATAATATTAGCAAGCTCTAGCGCGCTCAATGAATAACTGATATCGAAAGTTTTTCTAATTTAATTTGACCAGTTTCTCTTTCTGATAATTAAATCAAATCAAATCACTTATTTACAATCCAAGTGTACATCAGGGTCTTAAATTAAAAATGTGCTTACAACTTAGACGCCTTTTTCAGGCACTGCAAATTTGACGAGGACACTGCTTATATACATAAAATATACTTAGAAGCTACATAAATTTAAAATATATAATATTATTATTTTTAACGGCCACAGTCTAGGAATTATTATTTCTATCTAAATACTCCTCAATTGAGTAGAAGGGGTTTTGTTTTAAATATTTACTGGGGCTTGATTGAAATTTGGTTAATTCTGATACGTTTTTTATTTCCTGTGGTAATTTATTATAAACTTTTATTGCCATATAGTAGGGGCTTGTATTTAACATTTTTGTTCGCGACTGTGGTAGGTATAATTTATTTTTGTTACGTGTATTTATGTTATGTGTATCTTTAATCGTCTTGAAAGCATCTCACATTGGTACGCGAGACATTTTTTCTCTAATATCTTCTATGATCGATTGAAACTTCTCCCATAAATATTCTTAAAGTAAAACAAAACACACGGTACATGACATCAGCAATATTCCGGAATGTCAATACTTTAATAGAATAAGGCTGACAAACGAACAAACAAACAGACACATAGATAAAAAATAAAAAGGTAGATTCGTTGCCACCTCTGAGTACTAAGATAGAATGCGAGGCTCCTATTTTGCGCGACTTTTGTTGACAAATAAGGTGAATGCGAGCCTTCGAATAAACCTTGAACCTAAATGTAGTTGAAAACAATTTTCTTCATTAGCTAAACGAACAAATTGTGCCTCCGCTTGTAAGATAAGATTACATTTGAATCTAATTTAGTTCAATTTGGTCGACTACTAAATTTATTGAAATATACATTAAAAACCCCTTGTCACTCGTCACTAATCTTTTCGTTTGGTTTATATGTGGCAGGTTTATGGTAAAATCAGTTCAGTTATCTTCTTTCGGTTCTTGATCAAAAGCTCAGGTTATTTGATCAAAACCCTGAATTTACCATAATTACAAACTACATTTTAAAACAGTTTCTAACATATATCATAGTTTAACTACTTTAACTTTCTGACTGAATATTATTATTCTATAACAACAATTCACAAGCCTGAGTTCTTGAAACTAACGATCTTATTACCCAATGAAGTTACCTTAAATTCCACATGCGTGGGTCCATTTTCCGCAATTTTTCACACACTCCTACACTTCTTGGCTTTAAAAACAAGTCGTCATTTGATTCCAACGGATGTTCAATCTAGACTAAAATGACTACGATAAATTGTTTGCAGGTTGTGATATAAAAGACGCAGTTGCTATTTGCAGAAATTAAAACTTTTAAGAAAATATTTTTCTGCAGTTGTAAATAGTTGTAAGAATGCGAAGACATAACACGTAATATTTATTACACAAACGTCCACGCCTTTATTCCCTTACGTGTAAGACAGTGTCAAGGACATGTCAAGCCATTTAATAAACCCCACTGTTTACGTTAAGCCTAAGGCCTCAGTAGAGAACGTTCCGCGGATGTGTTTCGTACCATCGTTGCCGATCAAAGGCACTACAATGCGACATCGTGTTTTCGCCATGACACCACCACGCGCGCTTCGCCAAACGCTTCGTACTATGGTATTACAACCCTTACAACTCTCTAGTGTTAATGATATGCCTAAGAAGAGTAAATATAGCAGTAATTTATACTATATTTTCCTTTCTCTCCAAGTCCAGACACTGTGAGCTTAGAAGTCTCAGCTTACGTAACGGTACGGTAAGTCTAGTTCCTATCCTATGCTCCTGCTTTTCCTAGTTGAGGCGGGAACGTGGAGAAAGCAGACTCGCCCCATTCAACTAAGCAGGGGAGAACAAGCGTGTTATTATGAGGTCATGAATACCGATGCTTCAGAATACGTGTTTTTCTTGCCTCAAGGCTACTTCATGGTCGCCATGTAGGAAGCCGCAACCCATCACTACCTATCAGTGCGCTATCTATAACAATATATAAATATATCAACAGATTGTGTTTCGCATTAATAAACGGCGCTGAAAATATTATAGTGGCGGATTAGCGATTAAATAAGATAAATTTTTAACCCAAAAAGAATTAAGCATCTCATTAAATATGTATTGATATTCATTGTACCTATCTCCCTTTTAACTTTAAAGTTGTTGTTTATTACCTCATAATAAAAAACAAACGAAAACAAAAACCTATCCGCAACCATCTGATTCATTCAGTTTTTTTACAATTTATGTCAACGGTTCTTAATTACCTTTTCCAAGAGCATTACTAAAGATGTTATCAGTGGAATAATTTGTACCGGTGACTATCAATGTGCATGTCCAATGCAGATGCGATTTATGATGTAAACAAAAGTGTTGACGTTTTAACTGTTACAAAACATGGCATGGAATCAATGTTGTAATATTGTAGTTCATCACGTCAACGACGTTCGTATTATTTCGATAAAATTGACAAAGCAGTTTATTTATAAATTGACTACATACAATTTTGAAGCTATTTAAATTCGCTGGTTGTTCTCATTGATTAAAAAAAATATACACTACT